AAGCTATCTCAGCCGAGAGGCTGCTTGTTAAAACAAGTGTTGTATTACTGGGGGCTTTCTGGATTGCTTTGAGTTTTAGTAAATACATGTATGATAAGTGGGAACAGTAAACAAAAATGGCATCCAGCATCATACACCATTATAAAATTTCTATTAATTCACTTTGAAATCTCAAAAATCTCAAAGAGCATAGATATATAATAATATGAGGTTATTACAAAGATACATGTACCTCAAAATATGCACAATGACAGTACAGCGGAAGTATCGACCGATGCGCAGAGGAGGTCGATGCAATAGCGTACATATTTTCCTTCCAAGGATACATCATTGGAATGCCTAAATTCAAAAAAAAATTTGAACAGAATCAGCAAACTTCTTTGTGTGGAGTCCGGCCAAACCATGGTGGCAGCCATGTTTGTTTTTATTATTAGAGAACGCTTACGCGCATAGTCATTCCATATTTGGAATTTACATTTCCTTATATGGTATGAAGTAAATACCCGTAAAATTACGCCACGCTGTAACTTGTAGCGTTAAGATGACAGATGTATAATAATTTTAGTTATAGTTAATTTAATAGTAAATAAATTTATCCTACATGAAATTATATATACTGTACATGTATTTGCTCTAATAGAAGTGTATTTTCAATAGAATTGCACATAAACTAAAAAAACTGCGTTTATTGTATACTGCCTGGTGAATTTTAGCATAGAGATACATGTACTTACAGGTGTATTGCATTTACGTATTAAACTGCATGTGCTACTAATGGAACAAATACAGTAACTGTGAGTTAGATGTAATGTTATGTGTGAGTGGGCTGGCAGGTGCCGGGTAATACCATATTTGTTCTATTAGTAGTGCATTTGCAATTTATGCTGCTGTAAAATACTTTATTTTCACTGGAATTAATTTTCGCTGAAAAGACTTTTTAGGTGTGTTGTATGGAATTTATTTTTACTGATTTTTAGTAATGAATGTAAATGATAGGAAAAAAGGTATATTCGCTGGATTTTGTTTTCACTGAATCATTCCTTCAGCGAAAATAGCGAAAATTAATTCCAAGAGAAAATAAAGTACTCCACAGTATATTTTAGAAATCATATTGGTGTGCGACATAAGGCATATTTAATGATCCAGTTTTAAAATGAGGGCAATTGGTGGCTTACATGATAGTGCTTCTATTACAGAAGTGCTACTTATAAAGCAAATACAGTACCATATTTGTTCTAGTAACTCATTGTAACTTATATAAATGATATTGGTATAATTATGGACTATTAATTTTAATGATTATGTACACACTAAATGTAATATTAATTTGGTGCCTAATGGAGGTGTACATGTAATGAGGGTCGGCAAGGGGTATTTTCGTAAGCTGTAATCAATTGTTCTTATTTTCGTAATAATGTAATTTAAATAAATATAAAACATAAAATCATAGACAGGGGCAAGGTGTAAAATGTAATCAGTTATTTTATTCGCCCGTAATTTGTACAAAGATCTTATTTTTTGTAAGCGTATAAAGCATTTTCCACATTAAAAGGAATTTGCTTTATCTGTAAAGTGTAAAAACCTTTTTTTTTTCACTGTAAACTTTTATTTTATTTCCTATAAAAACATAAAATGCCTTTTTTATTTCCTGGAACCCTTGTCCCCTGTAATAGAGCAAATACAGTGTTTGAGTTTTCCCTTAGAAGGAAATCTACTAAAAGTTCTTTATTCACTATCATGTGTTCATTACTGTTTTTGTTTTTTTCTGCATCAGAGCGGTAGCCAACAAGATGGATGTGTACTATTGCAGCTGTTACTGGCCGCGGAACATGAATTCCGATTACTCTGCCCCTCAGGTAGGAATATCGTCATTTAAATTTATTCGCATTTATAAATAGATAATTCTTTATGTCAGTTCTCCAATATCATGTATATACTGTGGAATAGTTTATTTTCGCTGGAATTAATTTTCGCTGAAAAGGCATTTTGAGCGTTTTGTATGGAATTTATTTTCACTGATTTTTGATGAGTTTAATGTGAAATATATGAAAAAAAGTATATTCGCTAGATTTTATTTTCACGGAATCCTCCCATCAGCGAAAATAGCGAAAATAAATTCCAAGCGAAAATAAAGTATTCTACAGTACCTTGTTCAAATATTTATTGGGAAGGCTCATACAGCAACTATTATAACATGGTTAGTCTGAAACTATCCAACTGTTCAACATCTTGTATCTGGCACAAGAAGACCTGTGAATCCTGCCCCTGAAACTGAATAAACAGAGATTGAGATCAATTGAGATGACACGACATAGTATTGTGATTGCGCTGTGTGATCAACTGATCAAAACAGGGAAACCTAGTAAAAGTATTAATACAAATTTTTATTGCCAAAAATGTTAATGCATTGTGCATTTTGCGAAAAACATGCGAGTTCATTGCATTCTCGTGTTCAGATCGAACATGTGAGATCATTGTCCCGTCCGTCGTAAATCAAATCACGACTATAAAGCATTGTATTTCTTGCTCCTTTTTTTGCTTCATTTATGTGCAGAAATTTTGTATGATTATATCCTTAAATTATTGTTGATTTTGTCATGTGCCTTGTTCATCTATGTGTACGTTCGTTCTATGGAGTGCATTTTAATACTGGAATGTGCTCGGTTATTATCTCCCGCCAAATATGCTAATTTTTCCCAGAGAGGTCTTACATCCACTACCAAACAGCCTTGCTTACCGTTTATAATCTCTAAATGTTTATTTACTCTTTGAATGCCAAAATCAACTTTGTATTTTCAGAAAATCAAAATTTTTTCAACAATTTTGATAAAAAACTGCAGCCAATAGAAAATTATGTCCATTTGTTCCAAAACTAACAAAGAAATTACAGAAAATGCTCAAAAATGTGTAAAATGTTGCTCTGAAATTTTGGCGGGAAAAAAAATATGGCATTCAAAGAAGTAATATTGATAGGGATCTGCTAAAAGACAGTAGTACATTTATAGACAAGCTAGTTAATTCTAAATTATGTGTCATTCTTGGTTATAGCAGAGGTACATTACTTGGGGTTTGCAACTCGCATAGTACTGTATGGTGACATCATGTCAAGATCCCATTCAAGTCTCTTCTCGTAGATAGCGAGACTGAGGCTACGTCCTTCTGACATGACATATATCAATGTTCAAGGTTTGTAATGAAAAAATAAAACTTTTCTTGTCACTATCATAGTGAAAAATGTAATACATCGAAAATGTACAGAAAATATAGTTCTCGTAATCCATCATATCGTGGGCAGCTATTTTGATCCACCTGGACATCCCAGTATCCTAGTTACCTCGGGCATGCGCATTCGCATTTTTCTGAGTTGGAACGCTTATGCGAGAGCGAGATTGTGACGGGATCTTGGTATCATGTCACCGTAGTTACAAACCCCAAGTAATGTACCTCTGGTTATAGTTATATATTTGTTTATTTTTTTTTTATTTTGAATCATTCTATATTTGTAATGACTATGCATAGTGTGTAGTGGGTGTAATATAGGTGCAGACGAAATAAAAAAACAAACAGAAGAGCAATAATAGAAGAGTAGAGGCAGTTTCTTTTTAAATTTACTATCAATGACAAGTTTTCAATTATTTTCTGCACAAAATGCAACCAGTTATTAGTCCCCGTTCGGACGTAGTCCGAAAACGGGGACTTATGTTTTGCCCTGTGTGCGTCCGTGCGTGCGTGCGTCCGTGATCACCTGTATCTCGAACATGCATGGACCGATTAAGTTCAAACTTCACTCATACATCACACATTATATGGGACATATGCACATGCATTTTTTTCATGATCTGATTAACGATAGCCAAATAGCGACCATTTTAAGGCCGAAAATGCATCAAAATCACACATTTTCACCATTCCGGACCCGGATCTCAGTTATGCATGGGCGGATTTCGTTCAAATTTGATACATACATTAAACATAATATGACCTTGATGCACGTCATTTTTTTTTTTTGGATCGGGTTTGAAATGGCCGACTGGTGGCCATTTTGTTTTAATGAATTCAGTTCTGGATCCGTATCTGAGACATGCTTGGATTGATCGAGTTCAAACTTCACACACACATGGTACATCATGTCACAAATAGATATGTGCATTTGTTTCATGATCCGCTTAACAATAGCTGAATGATGGCCATTTTAAGGCCGAAAATGCATCAAAATCACGTATTTTCACAATTCCGGAACCTGATCTCGGTCATGCATGGATGGATTTTGTTCAGATTTAGAACAATGTGTTGTACATATGCAGGTGCATTTCGGTCATGATCTGCTTTGAATGTATATGTCACTCAAATATGAACGGAACGGGGACGTGTCATTGACAATGACTTGTTCTATAAACAGTTCAACATGGCAAAAATCATTATCTACTTTTGGGAAATAATACCCCCAGAAATACCAGGATGTATGACCTTTAGGGTTCATGTATACAAGGCCTATGGAACTGCAAACATATATAAAATTTACCTTGAGTTTGAATGCTGATGCCTTTTACAGTGTCACAGACTTTGTGGGGGCTTCTTTATATTCATCAGATGTTCTTAAGCTAGGAAAGGCCATTCTTTGTGTATTCGTGACTAGTCTTGTTTATAGAAATAAATAATTGACACCATGTTTTACAGATGAGCTGAAACATCATTCAAACGTGCTGTCTGATGATCTGATATGTAACTAATATGGTCTACTTCTAGTTTGACTTATAATCCCTTGATATACATGTAATTTACAATGCACTGCACTTTTAAAATTGCCATTTTCAATCATGAAATCAAATTGGAATTGCTTATACAATGGTTTTATAATCGGGAAAACCTCCGTCCTTGTTGCCTTGAAGTGTGTGTGTGTACTGGGAATATTTTGTTTCAGCCGGAATTTATTTTTGCCGACTTGAAACTTGAAATTGTATATTTAGTATAAATTTATATATTTTATTTGTAATAATTATGCTCTCTAAGTAAATAAAAATCATGAAATTGCATAATTTTGCGTGTGGCACAATTTCGAAAAATATTGTATTTCGTAGTCTTGCATCAGACTAGTAAAAATAAAATTGAAAATCTTAAAAGATGCATTATGGATGAGAACATGTAATTTGTAGTATTGTTGTTTGATAGTGTATTATTTATAGATTTATTATTAGACTGTGATTTATCATTGTAGCACACATGTGTGTATTTCATTGATGATACTATGTACAATGACATTCTGTATTACACATGTGCACTGGTTTGTTTAGTACATGCACGTGTGTATGACTGGTTTTGATTTTTTAGCTACTGAATAATGTGTGTGCCGCAAATACATCATTTTTGACTCCCGTGTGCGAAGCACAAAAAGGGAGTTTTTGCAGTTAGTGTGTCTGT